GCTTATTTCAAAATAAACTTCAAATCAAAAATTTAGTGAGCTTTTGTTTTAAAAGTTTCGTTTCTAAGGATATATGAAGTTATTATGACGCTATCTCAATATTTTTTTACTTTAAAAAAAATCCGAAAATTAGTTAAGAACTCAAACTAAAACCGATTCAAAACCGCCAAATTTAGGATACCAGAATCGTTGCAGTTAATTTAGGATAAACCGATCTGGATCCATGGTTTACCCATGCGAATCAATAACCAAATGATGGTACATATTGTAAACCAACTAACCGGTTCGGTTTAAGTTTCGACCGACCGCGAAAGTCGCCTTGTAGAATAATAGTTTGGGATCGCCGGAGAAACTAGAGACGGTGGAGAAGGCGGTGAGACAGAAAGCTATGGCGACGTTGCCGAAATTGATTCGAAGCATGAGAAAGGAAATTCCTAAGCAGACCAATCTTGTTCTGCCATCTCTCAGACGAGCTTACTCTCTCTACGATCAGATCAATCTCATCGATAATGTTCCTGAGGATCAGCTTCGATTTCAAGAGTAATCATATCAGAATTTCCTTTACTTTTCTCTGATTCATACTCCTGATTTGGATTTTGGGTATGTAAATGATTAGATTAGTGGTGGGTTGGTCTTTGATTTTGCAGATTTGATGAGACGAGTTTCACTGTGAATGGTGTTAAATATGAAGGTAGCTTGCTTTGTGTTGGGAATTTGTTAATGTCATGGATCCTCGTAACTTCTCCGAGATCACAACGGATAGGTATACAGTCTCTGTTTTCTTCAGCTTAATTCAGTAATGGAGAGAATATACTTGAATCTTGAGCAACTATAGAAAGGTTAGAGTTAAGAGATGTTATAGCTGTGTAAAGTTATACTCTTGAATCTTGAACAGCTAGTGAATTCATTGTTTAGAATTAAGAGATGAAGCAACTGTGTTTCATCGAAAGTTATACGTTTTGAGGTTGTTTATACCAGAATATGTGATAGTGTGTGTTGGAAAGACATTAGTCTGCTTTCATAGTTGGAAATGTCGATGTCTAGATTTGTAAACCAACCTCTTCCACTTGGATCCTCTCTTTGCTAGAGGCTTTATTTGGTGTGTTCTTAACAATTTTTATCATTTGCTGGGGTTTGATCGAACTTTTGGGTGTTCATTCATAGTTAAATGCTCTTTCTATTTGTTTACTGATATACATTAAGTTGATAAGTTCTGGAAAACACTTTATATGTCTATTTCTCATGGATGCAGCTTGTCAATCTTCCAGACAGTTCGACCAATTCCAGGTACTACTATACATTTAATTTTTTTTTGTGTTGTTTAATACCATGTTTCTTAGAAAGATTCCTTTTGTTTGAAATGGAACGTTGTGGTCTTATAGCTAATTAGAAACCATATGTTTAAGCCATATTGCTAGTGGTTAAGAAGCAAAAAACCTTTTGCACATATTGAAGTGTATCATCAGTGGTTTCTGATTCTCTGTCCCTTTTTTCTGGTGTTTTTGTCAACACTCTCTAGAGCTCTTGATCATCGGGTGTGGAAGATACAACCACCCATTAAATCTCCAAGTACGTCAGTTCGTAAAGTCAATTGGCATGAAGCTAGAAACCGTTGATTCGGTATGTCTATTCACTCCAGCTTCTCTTATCCTCTTGCTTTGTTCTATACAAGTCCTTGTTCTGTTGGGTTGGAATATTGATTAACTCCCTGTTTTATCCAGATAAATGCTGCATCGACTTACAATATACTCAATGAGGAAGGAAGGATCGTGGCCGCTGCATTGCTTCCTTATGGAAATACATCCTAAGAAACTCAGCACCTCGAGGGCCTTCTCCTGTAGAACAAACTTTGAGCAACTCGAGCCCAATCTTTATACTTGAAACACCAACACGGTCTTTTCTACTGTAAATGAAATGTTTCACATTCTTTGTTTGCGAAACTTTTTCGAGAGAAAATCAAAATTTTCACATTATTGCAATATGAATTGATCTTTATCTGAAAACAGAAAATAGTGTCCTGCTTTATTTCATTTGTGACATGGAAAGTTCTTCAAGAATACTTTGTGATAAGAACATAAAAGATACTGAAAATAAAAATGTTGAACTGAATTTTCTTCGGCGCGCCTTGCTTCTAACCATGGTACTCTCTCCATGTCTATGTTCAACTTATGTACTAGATAGCTAGTTAGACCTTCAACTTAAGTTTAACTGTTGTATTGGTCTTTCATTTTCTCTACAACAGAACATCATCTTGCTTTCACCTTGGATTGGCCCTAGAAGGTTCTCCTTGTCAGCTGAGAAGATTACTCGAGCCGGGAAAGTTTTTAGATCTTGTCGAATACTCTTTTATGAGTTTGGAGAAGAAAGAGTCTTCCCTCTCTAGCAGTTTTGCAGGTGAGTCAAACTCTGCGATACGTCCTGCTCATGAAAAAGTAGTTTAAACTGTATATCATGTATGTGTATGTATGTGAAAACACAAAAGTGTTGTTCTTACCATCACTTAGAACCAGAACAAGATCACTCTCAATCACTGTGTGGATTCTATGTGCAATAGTCACTACTGTTCGATCTTTAAACGCTTGACTAATGATCTTCTGTATCACACCATCTGTTGCAGAATCAACTGAAGCGGTGGCCTCATCGAGCACGAGAATGTTACTTTTCTTTAACAACACCCTCCCAAGACAGACTAATTGTCTTTGCCCTACACTCCAATTCTCTCCATTTTCAACCACTGTTACAATACATTCTAGAATCAGTTTTCATTGTTCGGAAGAATTTTAAATTAATTTCTCTCATTATAATTGCAGAAGACTCACCTGTAGCATCCAGCTTCTCATCCTTTGCACGAAGAACTTCTCCCAATTGGCATTTATCAAGAGCCTAACACATTACATTGCATTTAGATTGTTTTGTCAAAGTTAAATCAGATAAGAATTACAGAGACCAAATTTTTGCAGGACTTTTTACCTCCCATATTTCGCGGTCAGTGTACTGAGCTAGAGGGTCTAGATTCACTCTAATTGTTCCATCAAATAGTGCTGGATCTTGAGGAATAATACCAAGTCTTGACCTCAGGTCATGTAGACCAATCTTGGTAATATCCACATCATCGATAATTATTGTTCCTTGACTTGGTTCAACAATCCTAAACAATGCCTGAATCAAAGTTGATTTGCCACTTCCTGTTCTTCCTACAACTCCAATTTTTTTCCCTCCTGGAAACTCACAGGTGATGTTCTTCAGGACAGCTGGGAAATGTTCCGCATACCGGACCTGTAAGAAAGACATATTGAGAATCTTTTATTACATATGTTTTCTTTGAACTAGACTATGAATTTTTACAATCCTATGTTTCAAGATATCTCAGTAATGTACTAGTATCTACTTTGTTGTTTACCTGTAGGTCTTTGAAGACGATTGATCCAGCGTTTGGCCAGTTATCCAGAGGTCTATGATCATCAATTACTAAAGGTGCCTCACTTGGGATTTTGGAATACTGAAGAATTCTTTCTACAGAAATCATCTTGTTTTCTGCATTGCATATGTTCCATATCACTGTGGCTTGTAATACATTCAGACTTAAGCCATATGTGACTCCAAGACCAGCAATACCTGTAAGAAAGTGAGCATGAAGTTTGAGTTTTGATCTAATTAAACAACGCATTGCAGATTTATGATGTATGTGACTTACTTGGATTGATGACTCCTTCAGGGAGAGTCACAAGTAACACCAAGGAAAAAGCAAAGACAAAATGAGACAGCAAATTCAATCTGAAGGAAAGCCACTCCATTGCTGATATAACATGGAACCATGGCCTTGAATGGTTGTCAATTAGAATAAGGTTCGAGCTAATGAAGCGATGTCGTTGATCAAAAGCGCGTATTGTTGTTGCACCAGCAAGCGATTCACCGAAATGGTGAAGTATTGGAGCTCTTTCTACTCCTGACATGCGAGATAGTTCTCTTGCCGCTGGTGTGTAATATCTCTGAAGAAAAACAAGCAAAATATATAAACTTAGCAAAGATTTCTTGTATCAGTGATGAGGAATCATATGTCTTTTGTTTTCTCTTACCTGATAAAACACGCAGGCTACTGCTACTGGAATGAAGATGACACAAACTTGCCAAGCAACTTGAGACATTACGAAGATAGTTCCAATAATCTGAATGATCGAGAAAGCACACCAGCCTAGTCTGATTGCCATTTCCAAATCCAGGACACTTTGATCTGTAGATGCCTATGACAGAACATGAGAAACAAAGGTATTTTCAATCTTGTTTAATAGGGAAACAAACACATGTTTTATGTTGGATTGGTTCAGGTACTCACTCTGTTCAAGATTCTTCCGGTTGGAGTTGAATCGAAAAACGACATGGGAGCTCTGAAAATGCTGCAGAGCATCCTTGAGAAGAATTTCTCTGCTGTTAAAAGTCCACCTATTGCGACTAGAATAGTCCGTGCTAGAACACAAAGTGAACTTCCCGCAGCAAGAAGTGCGTAAACAAGTAAAATCCGATCCATCCTTAACTTTGGTTCGGATTCAGAAGTAGGAGGAGCAGTCCATGCCATCCAGTAATTGCTAGCAATCTGTAGCATTTGGAAGCAAGACTGAGCCAAGATTATGAGTGGCACAAGCAATCCGCCTTTTACCGTTGTCAAATACGCCAAGTATACTTCCTTGCCTATTACTCCTTTCTCTGTTTCTTCATCTTGCACTAGCTTTGCTTCCTTCTTTTTATTCTCTGTTGATATGTTATGCTCTGAGTCACGCTGTGTCTGGAGGCTCTCTGCAATTGATACTGTGTCATCTTTGGATTCTTCGTCTTTGACGTTTCTGCTTGACTTTTCAATTGATAAGATTGAGTCAAGAGCATCATTATGAGCTCCTACAAGAACCTCAAAACCTATGTTTTGCTTTAGAAGTTCTTCGAATTTTCCTGCTTGCATAACTCTTCCGTTTTGCATCACCTGTTGTAAATGGAAACTAAACGCTTTATTTTTCATTTGCATAAGTTATATAAATGGAGCTTTCTCTTACCAGAATGAGATCTGCTGCTGGAAGAAACTCGACTTGATGCGTAACGTAAAGTACTGTTTTTTCTTTCAATATCCCCATTAAGCATTCCTACAACAACAAAAAACATTGTCAATGGTGGAGTTTCAAGAGAGAATTGATCAAAGATTACAAGTTTCATGAACATTATTATCATACTTCAAAGAGTTGTCTTCCTGTATGAGCATCAACCGCGCTAAAAGGATCATCGAGTAGATATATATCGGCATCTTGATAGACTGCTCGAGCAATTTGTATTCTTTGCTTCTGACCTCCACTCATGTTTATCCCTCTCTCGCCAATCTCTGTCAGGTCTCCATTAGAGAAAAGCTCAAAGTCTTTTATCAAAGCACATGCTTTAACAGTTTTCTCATACTTTTCGCTTTCGTAAATGCTTCCAAACAGAATGTTATCTCTTATAGTCCCGCTTAGTATCCATGGTGATTGAGGAACATAAGCTTGTTTACCACTGACTCTAACATTTCCTCTCACCTTCTGAATCTCCCCTAAGATTGATGACAGTAAGCTTGATTTTCCTGTTCCTACAGCTCCGCAAATCGCCACTTTCATTCCTCTTTTTACTTTGAGTTGTATCTCATCGAGAGTCGGTCTGCTCGGCTCAGGTTCCCAACTAAATGATCCATTTTCAATTTCAATACTGAAGTCAGTATGATCCTTTGAAGTATACTCAACTGCGTCTTTCTGACTCTCGCTTAGTTGAAGGTAAGAAGCGATTCTATCCGAAGAAACCTTGCTCTGTACTAGAGCAGAGAGGAGATCAGGTAAACCGAAAATCGGACTTTGTAGCATTTGAAAGGTTGCAAGAGCAGATAAAACTGCTCCAGCTGTTAGCTTCACTCCAATTAGCATACAAGTGACAAAAGTCACCACAGAGATCAAAGCTGGAGCTCCCCAAAGGATGAAAGTTGTGAAAGCTTGTAACCTCAAAGACCTCCATAGACAATCATACTCGTTCTTTCGTAATCTTTTAACCTTGTTGAGAAATTGGTTATCCCAAGCTTGAAGCTTCAGAATCTTCATGTTTTTAAGAATCTCTGAAGTTGCTTTCATTCTTTCATCTTTGGCATTCATGATATCTGATTGGTAGTTTCTCTGAATCCTTGTCAATGGGTAATTGCAAGCCATCACCAGAAAAGTTGTGGCCAATGCAGCTAAAGCTCCAAGTCCCAGATGTTTTTGCAAGATATAAATCGCCGAGAAAACCTGTATCGGTAACATCCATATGGTGTTTACATACCAAATGAAGTCAGTGATTCTCTGAACATCTACACTCATGTAGTTAATGATCTCTCCGCTCGTATGGCTTTGCCGAGATTGACTTGATAAAAGTAAACCTTTTTGATATATATGCGATATCAAAGCTGCTCGAAGTCGTAGTCCTAACTGACGAGCTCCAAAGATCCATTGTCTTTGAGTAACTGTCTCGACGATTTTCGCACCTAGAAAACCAAGTACAAGAAGATAACCATAGTTTAAGCCCTTTTCTTGTTTCACAGTTAGAAACTCTACAAAGTCATTGATGAGATATGGTCCAATGTAAGCCGTGCTCGCGTTTATGACTGCGAATACCCCGTTGATCGCTGCTTTCTTCCAGACATACCGAAGAACCGACTTATAGAAGAAAGCATTTCCAAGTCCTTCTTTTTCTATGGTGGTTTTCATGTTCTGATCAAACGCTTGAGAGCAAAACCGAGCGGAATCTTTCACATCGATTTCTGGTACATCGTCTT